CATCAAGTGAAGAATATTATATCACCAGTCTATACTCCAGGAAATAATGCCCATCTGCTCACTGGAGGGAAGGATATTAGAAGCAAGATGAAGTACTTTGGCAACATAATTAGAAGACAGGAAAGGTTGGAGATGATGATGATGCTGGGAAAAATGGAAGAGTAAAGGAAGAGGTCGCAGGTTCGATTCCGGGGAGTGGCGTGAGCTTCCGCTGTCAGCCCTAGCTTCTGCCAACCTAGCAGTTCGAAAACATGCAAATGTGAGTAGATCAATAGGTACCACTCCAGCGGGAAGGTAACGGCGCTCCATGCAGTCATGCCGGCCACATGACCTTGGAGGTGTCTACGGACAACGCTGGCTCTTCGGCTTAGAAATGGAGATGAGCACCACACCCCAGAGTCAGACATGACTGGACTTAATGTCAGGGGACTACCTTTACCTTTACCGAAAGGAAGAGGAGCCGACCAAGGGAAAAATGGATGAATGTTATCCTTGAAGTGACTGGCTTGACGTTGCAGGAGCTAGGGGTGTCCATGGCCAACACTAGGGGTGTCCATGGCCAAAGGTCACGAAGAGTCGAAAGTGATGGAACGAATAAACAACAAACAAAATTTGATTGATGGATTGAAATAGTTATATATGAGCTTAGATCTCTGGGTGGCTTGCAATAACTTCTAATTAAGCAATTTAAAATAATTAAAAATGTAAAACAGCTAAAAATAAATATTCTGATAAATGTGCTTTCTGAAAATTGGCATTTTATATTTTCCCTTTCTTACTGGATCCCATGATTTTAGTATGGCACAATCTTCATCCCAGTTTGGTTACCGGGAATATGTATTTTGTTCGTTTTGTTCCAGTGTTTTTATTCATGGACTCACATAGGAACAGTGTGTCCCATGTAAACCTCACAGGTTTCCTGTCATGATTGCCAACATATCCTGTGGGAAATGGTTCTTATTTATTTTCTTCCTCCTTCTCCCACAACACGCTGTGCCTTACTTACATCTTCACTTGTCATAACTGTTGAGAGTTATCCACTGGGGAGACACTGGGGATCAGATAGCTTCTCTGACTTTATTTACAGTTCTCTGACCAAGAGCTAGTGATTCTCAAAAATTCATGAATAAGTCTTTGAAATGTCTCAGTGATGCTTATCATAGCATTAAATCGGGGCTAGAGTGGGGGGGGGGGGGGGGGGGGGGGGGGGGAGGTAGGGGTTCAACCGCCCCCCCTGAAATTTTTCAAGTTAAACAAAAAACCTGGTTTACTCATGAATTTTAACTAGTTAACCAAATCCCCTTCCTAAGCCTATGTGAAGCAAACATTAAATTGATTTAATTAAGTCTATATAAAATATAGAACGAACCATACTATTTAAATTATTTTGTGTTATGGAACTACTCTTCATGATCCACTAAAAGATTCCCCCCTCCCCCAAAATAATTTTCTGGCTATATTACTGCATTAAGCCAGTGGTTCCCAACATTTTTTGACCAGGAACCACTTAACCAGAGACCACATTGACCAGGGACCACTCTCCAACATTAGTAACAGAAGGATTATGAATTAGTTTTTGGTCAACTTTAGATTTGGTTAGGTTATTTGGGGTGCTGATTCAGAACTTTGCATTGGATAGATCACATCAGCTCTAATTTCTGATACAGAATGTATGCCATCAAGTAGTTGCCATCTGCTCACCCACAGAAAACCAGATTTAATAATCTAGAGCTGATGTGGTAGTAGTAATCTTTCATGGGTAGTCAACCTCTCCCCCAACATCCTCATTGCCTCGGCACTGTAAGAGAGTTTTGCGACACCAGTTGCTCTCGTTGCCGCATGTTTACGAGGCAACGGTCTAGTAATGGTGAGGCTGCCGACTATATTTTCATTCTTGCACACCACTGGCGGTCCACAAACCATAGGTTGGGAGCAACTATATTAAACAAACTTAATTGAAGTCTTGGCAAAGTTTTGATCATGTTTTCCTATTCCATAGCATGTCCTACACCTATCCTGATTTACCTGGGACAGTCCTGATGATTTCTTGTCCCACTTTTCCATCTGCTTGTTTCTCCACATAATAATAATAATCATCATCATCATCATCATCATCATCATCATCATCTCTATTTATACCCCGCCTCCATCTCCCCAAAGGGAACTCGGGGCAGCTAACATGAGGCCAAGCCTGAAAATACAATACAGCAAAATAAAATACAACACAACGAAAAATTACATCACAATAAAATACATAAAGCAAAAAAATAAAATAAACAGTGCAAAATAACATAATGAAAAATAGAACACAATGGATGGGCCAAATGCACAAGATTAAATTATAAAACCCTGGATGAGATAACAGTGGAAAAGTGTATTTGTGTATTTCCTTCCTTTGTCCTTGTCTTCCCTCAGTTGCTGCAAACTGGGTTCAAAGCGTAGAAGCGACTTTCTTTGATTGTCCTTCCCAGAAGATATAGACAAAGCCAACTACTGGAGTCACTTTTATCTTGTGTGTTCTGCCTTATTAAGATCTTTTGTCATATTGACTACACACTGATGTTGTTTGTCCACTTCCTCATTGTTATCTGTGAAGTGTTGGAGGGATTTGCCATAGTTGTACCCTTTTGGACTCAGTATGTGATCTAGAAATTAATTCAGCAGAATCCTTGTCATCTTATGATTTCTTTGCCATTTTCTATTTTTTTTAAAATGTTCCTATCCCATCTTTCTCATTCACTGGCATCTCTTTGGTCAAAAGACTGCTCTCTACCACACCAATCAGCCAGACATGTTATTTGAAGACTCATTAAAGAACAATTGACAATTAACAAAGAATTCTTAGCTTTTACAGAACAAGACAAACCAATTCTCATGCAACAGCTATTCTGAAAAGCTCTTAGCTGAGTGTGCTTTCTTGGGGCATGGGGACTTTGATGAATCTGTAGTGTAAAAAAATGGGGACATATAGTCCCAGATACCATCTCTGCTAGACATGGGCAAGAATCTCATGCAAATTTCACAACCAGAACAAGTGCTTCCATTCATCAACATGAAAAGTATGCAGAACAATGTCAAATGGAGAAGATGGTAGTATCATAGACTCAGAGACCTGTATCTGACCCGTGGTTTAAAAAGACAATGGAGAGGGACCAAGTGAACCTAAAGCACCATTTCCATTCAGCATGAAATGGATGTCTTGATGAGTTCATTGAGCATAATTCAGCGAGATACCTCAGTGGATATTAATAAACAAGTGCCAATTCGTTTCCTATTGAATTATTTGACATAGGGCCAGTATTATTGATTTAATAAGTCATGAGTAGAGTTTGGATAATTCATTTTTTCTAGGGTTTTTTTTCATTCCTTAAACAAAACCTTTGGAATACCTTGGATCGTCATAGATTTCTCCCTTAAATTTGTAATCTTTTATTAAATAAGAGAAGTGGGCAATGAACCATTGTGGGATCACCTATGGTGTGTGCGCAAATGGCTGTGCCAGCATGATGTATAGTTTGTGTGTTGGAGTACAACTCTGGAGATCAAGATTTGAATTCCCGTTCCCCCATGAAAACCCGTTGGGTGGCCCTGGGCAAGTCACACTCTCACAACCTCAGAGGAAGGCAGTGGCTAATCTCTCCTGAATAAATTCTGGCATGAAAGCCTTATGACATGTTCCATCCAAGATTGCCATAAACCAGAAATATTTTTTTAGGTCTGATAACAACATGAACAAACAGATTACTACACAGATTTGGATTTTGCCAGCAAGAGTATCCTCAATGCCACTGTCCGCTGGACTGGCCACATTGTCCGGATGCCCGACCACCGTCACCCAAAGCAGTTGCTCTACTCCGAACTCAAGAATGGAAAACGGAATGTTGGTGGACAGGAAAAGAGATTTAAAGATGGGCTCAAAGCCAACTTTAAAAACTCTGGCATAGACACTGAGAACTGGGAAGCCCTGGCCCTTGATCGCTCCAGCTGGAGGTCAGCTGTGATCAGCCGTGCTGCAGAATTTGAAGAGGCGCGAATGGAGGGCGAAAGGGAGAAGCGTGCCAAGAGGAAGGCACATCAAGCCAACCCCGGCCGAGACCGCCTTCCACCTGGAAACCAATACCCTCACTGTGGAAGAAGATGCAGAGCAAGAATAGGGCTCCACAGCCACATACGGACCCACAGGAATACTGGAAGACAATCCTCCTCGGAAAACGAGGGATCGCCTAAGTAAGTAAGGTGCCTTCTGTGTTAGTGGTGTAGTGACTCTGCTCCAAGTTTTTATGCAGCTTTAGAGCCTGAGATAGCATGACTTGGCCAAGATTGTTGTTGTTGTTATTATTATTACTATTATGTTTATATTTATGCTTATTTATATCCTGCTTTTTCTCTCCAGAAAGATACTCAAAAGTGGCTAGGATTACCAGGGTGTTTCATGACTGAACAGGGATTCATATCTTGATCCCCAGAATCCAATGCTCAAATAGGTATATACGTATCATCAGCTCTCCCTACTCTTGGATTTGACCATTCACAGCTTGACATATTTTCACACTTCAAAAGTAACCTTGTTTTGCCATTTTATAAAAGGGATAGTATTTCATTATGTCACTGTATATACTAGGATTCAGCATCTATGGATTTTGCTAGGATACCATGGGCTCTTTATAAACATATACACAAAGGAAAGACAGGCGTAACAAAATAGAAAACTATACAATGCAATTAAAAAACCTCCAGAAAACAATGATACATATAACCAAAATATACAAGATTATAAAACAATATTAGTTTATATAGTTTTGGAGCACATGCAATTTGCTTTACTAATCCTCCTAACAACACATTTAAGTCGTGATTCAAAGCAGTCACCTGGATTGCTTATGCATCTGTCCCATTCCTTTATAATGCTGATGGAACATGTAATCAGATCCTTGAGTATATCTGTACACTTTAATTTACACGTGTGTGCTTTGCTCTCCCCATCCTTATTTTCATTTCAGATTGATGAATACTGAAAATGCACTTTTACAAGCCAGAGAAGAGGAAGGAATAAAATACGAACGTACGTTCATGGCATCTCAGCTGATTGATTGGTTGATCCAGGAAGGGGAGGTCACTACAAGATCTGAAGCTGAACAACTTGGCCGAAGACTGCTAGAGCATGGGATTATACAGCATGGTGAGGAGCATGCTCTGCTTTAGACTAGATGTGGAAAAAACCTCTAAGGGTGACACATTATTTAGAATGTATCTCTTCATTAGGTGAAGAATATTTCTTCTGTTGAAAACCACAATGAAGTGGGCCACATTTTATTATATACTAGCTTGAGTATCTGGGTTATTTGAAAAAGTCAATTTTTAATTGTAAAAAATGCATAAGTTTGTGGGTGAACTGGCGAACTACAACTGGCGTCATGCTAGATTAACCCCGATAAACTATCAGTACTTAAAGTTTGTTATGTTGGGGAAGTTTGCTTTAGGTGGGGTTCAGTGTGTTCTGTGGCTGCAGAGTAAACTACAACTCCCACTATGGTGAGTCAGTCCCCTCAAACACTTACAGTAGGTGGAGTTAGTCATGGGGGTTCTGTGTGTCAAGTTTGGTTCAGGCCCATCATCGGTGGAGGTCACAGTTTCTCTGGTTGTGGGTGAACTACAACTCAAGAAAGGAAGGTCAGTTCCTCCCAAACTCCTCCAGTAATCAATTTTTGGCATATTGGGTATGTGTGCCAAGTTTGGTCCAGATGCATTCGTGTTTGGGTTCATGGTACTCAATGGATATAGGTCAACTACAACTTCCCCAAATTAAGGTGAATTTCCCACAAAGACCTCTAGTATTCTTTGCTGATCATTGGGGCTCTGTGAGCCATGTTTAGCCAAATTGCATCTTTGGTGGAATTCAGAGCACTCATTGATTGCAGGTGAACTATAAATCTCAGTACCTACAACTCCAAAATGTCCAGGCCAATTCCCCTCAAATCCCACCAGTATTCAAATTTGAGCATATTGGGCATGCATGCCAAGTTTGGTCCAGATCCATCATTGTTTGTGTTCATAGTGCACTCTAGATGTAGGTGAACTACAACTCCTCCAAATCCCTCCAAAGACCTCCAGTATTTTTGTTGTGTGCAAAGTTAGTTCCAAGTCCATCGTTGGTGGAGTTCAGATTGCAGGTGATCTATACATCCCAGTAGCTAGAAGTCCTATAAATCTTGGTGAATACTCCCCAAACCTCTCTCTGTAGTATGTTCAGTTGCTGATCAATGATATGTGCTGTAAAAAAAGAATAGAAAGGGGTTAAGGGAGAAGCAGTGGGAGGGATCATGCAAATTCCACACCAATGGAGAGAGTCAGAAACCCTGGGATGTCTGTGGTGGAGGAAAGACATAAAATCTTGCATGAAATTGTCCCCATATGAAAGCCCTCATTTGGGTAGTGGGCAGTATGGCATTTGTGGAGGACATTTGCAGGGTTCTTGTACATGTTCATGGCACATACTATAATCTGCAATATCATTAGTGGGAAGGTCTTTGGTGTCTCCTGGTCATTGAGAGCTATAGCTGTTTGTGGAAGTGGGAACCTGTCTGTGCAAGTGGACACCCCAGCCCCCCCCCCCCCACACACATTTTCACCTTTGTTATGTGCGTAGATAGATTGGGCAGCCCTTAGCCTCCAAAATCCAAAATGCCGTAGTTCATATGGGTGGCTAAGATAGTGACACCTTTATTCTCTAATGTTTTAAGATACATAACATTTGTTTCATGTGCAGAATGATTAAAAACATTGTGTGTAAAATTACCTTCAGGCTATCTGTATAAGATGCATATGAAATATAAATGAATTTCATATTTAGACTTGGGTCCTGTCTCCAAGGTATCTCATTATCTATGTATGTGTATGCACATGCAGGCATTCCAAGATCCCAAACACTTCTGGTCTTAAGCTATTTGGAACAGGGATACTCAGCCTGTAGCTGGCAGGACCAGAACTAGTAATGGACAGTTTTGCTTCTGTCTTTGCTTTTCTCTGACACCATGATTCTTTTCAGAACTTGGCAAGTTAGTTTTTAAAAAAGTCAGCCTGTTTCTGTAAAATCTGGATATTCTCCAACGTAGACCTCCTGTGCCTTGCCAAACCTTGCTGGTCTGCACACCAAAGCCCTGATTTCATGCAAAACCTTTCCAAAATTGGAAACAATAGCTCATTTCATGGCAAAATTTTCCCAGGATTTAAGTAGTCTTTATTTCCTGTCTTCAGCCACTGAACAAAGATAAAGGCAGAAGAATAATGGAGTGGTGCTTATTGATCATTATGGCAAGAAATCAAGCAGCAGAGGCTTCATTAAGTCTAAAGTAAATTCCATTCAATTGCATATCTATTCAGGGGCTGTGCAGTACAGAATTCAGCCTTGTGATGCCATCTTGTTATCAGTAACATCTTGCAGTACAGGCAGCCCCCAAGTTATGAACAAGATAGGTTATGTAGGTTTGTTTTAAGTTGAATTTGTTTGTAAGTTGAAACAGGCTCATTTTGAAAGTGTAATTCCAGATGTATATATCTGGAATTACACTTTCAAAATAGCATAGAGAAGGGTCAGTATCCCTGTGGTGTTTGCTTTGCTGCCCATGCTCCTGTTCAGAAGATTTCTGGCCACAGTGGTCTACACTCTTGTTACATCCCGAATAGACTACTGCAATGCACACTACGTGGGGCTGCCTTTGAAGACTGCCAGGAAACTTCAATTAGTCCAACAGTCGGCAGCCAGGCTGCTGACTGGAGTGGCATACAGGGAGCATATAACTCGGGGTCTTGAGTGCTAGGGTAAAAGGCCCTAACTCACGAATGGCTCTCACAGAACACGGCTCTCACAGGACAGCAAGGAATTCCACAAGGCAGGGGCAGAAATAGAAAAAGCTCTGCATCTGGTCCTTTCCAAGTGCACTTCTCGAGGACCCGGTATATAAAGTAAGTCACGTTGGGATGGTCGTTGCAGCCTCCGATGATGGGAGAATGAGAGACGGTCCCTAAGATACAATCGATCCTGGCCGTAAAGAACTTTAAAGGTCAGAGCTAGCATCTTATATAGACCACGGATAAGCGAGAGTCTACTGTATTTCAATTGTAGCTGCTGAAGTCTGCCATTGGTGAAGGATGGAATAAGGTCTATCCATGGGTTCTGCATCCATGGATTTAACCAACCATGGCATAAATTAAGTAATCCTATGGACTTTACACAAGGGACGTTTACTATGCCATTATATTGGCATAGTAAATTGCCAGTATGATTTGCAATTTACTTGAATAGCCTTGAACAGCTGTTTCTATATCCCAGAATAAAACCCTAGTGGATACCAAGGGCCCATTGTACTTTGCTTCCGTTTACCCATTTGAATCTATGGTTATCATCAACATTTGTATATGTTGATGAGTAATGAGGTAAAAAATGTATGAGATAAGGCTGTAAATCTCACTGAGGCCTCAGGGATGAAACTGGGTTCACAGAGAAAGATTTGTCTGCTTCTTTCTACCCTACTTTATATTTTATGTATTTTTCATTCCTTTCATTAATTGTTAATTGTTATCCTGCCACTCATAAAACAAGCCTAAGACTGGGTTTTCTGTTTGAAAGTGCTGGGAGGAAGGGGGCTACCACTGTATTTCAGTTTTGCCTGTGGCCCTTGGATCAGTTTCAAAAGCTCTGAGCAAGTGACCTATTCTCCGATCCTTGAACTCTGGCCAAAATACTTGTCCCTCCTCAGCAGGACCTCAGACAGAAAGGAAGAAGAGAGAGAGGGGAATGAGAGAGGGAGAAAGAAAGAAGTGGAGTTTAGAAATAATTAAGGAAAGTCTGTTGAATTAACTAATTGGTTTTTTATATAACAAAGAGAAAAGACTGCATTGAAATTTGAATATTTGCATAGCAAGATCCAAAATGTCAGATGATGAAAATTCGGACGCCTGTGACCGAGCAATAAAATTGTAATGAAATAGTTGTGAGTTATGTATGACAAAACCGGTACTGTTCCATTATCTGGGAAGACTCCAAAAGGAGGTCTAGACAGAGAAGGATAGTCCATTTTAGGGGTGGTGGTGGAGGAGTTGATGGAGGAAAACCATTTTTTCCGTTTTTGCTGGTTATACCCCCCCCCCCCCCAATATCATAAACGATGGTTGTTTCAGTTACTGTGACATGGGTGGAGGGAATTACAGGAAAATGGGGGGAAATTGATTAATTCCTTCAACTCCCTTTCCCTCTTTAAAATGGACTATTCCGGCAGCAAAAAAGCCAATGGGATTTTGGCCTACATCAATAGGAGCATAGTGTCTAGATCTAGGGAAGTAATGCTACCCCTCTATTCTGCTTTGGTTAGATCACACCTGGAATATTGCGTCCAATTCTGGGCACCACAATTCAAGAGAGATATTGACAAGCTGGAGTGTGTCCAGAGGAGAGCGACTAAAATGATCAAGGGTCTGGAGAACAAGCCCTATGAGGAGCGGCTTAAGGAGCTGGGCATGTTTAGCCTGAAGAAGACAAGGTTGAGAGGAGATAAGATAGCCATGTATAAATATGTGAGAGGAAGCCACAGGGAGGAGGGAGCAAGCTTGTTTTCTGCTTCCTTGGAGACTAGGACGCGGAACAATGGCTTCAAACTACAAGAAAGGAGATTCCATCTGAACATGAGGAAGAACTTCCTGACTGTGAGAGCTGTTTAGCAGTGGAACTTTCTACCCCAGAGTGTGGTAGAGACGCCTTCTTTGGTGGTTTTTAAGCAGAAGCTGGGTGCTTTGAATGCGATTTTCCTGCTTCTTGGCAGGAGGTTGGACAGGATGGCCCATGAAGTCTCTTACAACTCTATGATTCTATGATTCTTCTCTGTGTATTACCCTCTTGTGGCTTTTGCCTGGGTAATGGAACAGTACCCAAAAACACACAAACTAAGAAAGGCTGCAGTGGTTGGCTTTTGCCCAAACCTACTGGAAAGGGCAAAATTTTGCTCCTGCTGAGTTAACTGGAAAATTGCTTTTGTACTTTGAACTCAGTTTGTGGCAAAGTGAAAGGAGGTCAAAGGGGGAAAGTGCGGAGAGGAGAGAAAAAGCATTTTAAAAAAAAAAAGCAGCTGATGGGGGAAGTGGTAAGATGATAGAGAAACTGGGACATTTTAAAAGCAGTTGAAATAA